TTCACGACAATGGGGGCACCCAACTCTCTGAAACAGGTGTGGGTTGTGTGGTTCAAGCCTGTTTTGTTCCAGTCTGGAAGAAGACAGGCCAGCAACCCCTGGAGGTTCCAATTCATAAAGGGTGCTTGATCTCCGAACATCGCCCCTGCGTGTCCTTTTCATGTGATAGCTCTTTTGTTTTTGTAGACTAGACGCATCTGAAATTAAAGAAAATGTATTGAAGCTCTCAGTGTATCACAAACTCAGTTATGAATGACAGCACAGACCTCTATCCCCACACTGCAAATATGTCTGTCTGCTTTTATTCTACACAAGGCAATATCAATTAAATTGTGCTAACTATCTTTATTACCATACCAGTCAGCTGTCATTTTATTTTATTGTATTCCAAAAAAGTTGTGATTTGGCCCTAGCAATTTTTGGGTCCTGAAGTGGTTCTTTTTCTTTGTTTTCACTGGCGGAAAGTTCTGGTTGTTCTGGACACAAGGTTTTTTTTCCCAGAACTTCAGTTTTGCATGTACATCGATTCTATAGATGTTGCTTATTTTGGACTGTTAGTTTCTTACTTATCAGGAAGATGCAATTAGACTTTGAAGGAAACACCCCTAATTAGTTGACTTTTATTTATGACATACTTGTCAGGAGAGCAGAGGGCCCCCCCCCCCCCCCCCCCCCCCCCCCCCCCCTCCCAAAAAAAAAAAATCACATATTTGTATGCAGACTGTTCGTTCTTCACCATACAGATGGAAAAAGGGGGTTGGGGGAGGGGGGGGGGTGTGTTTGCTATGCTCCGATAGGAGATAAAAGTGTCAAATAATACATTTAGCCTGTGCTCCACTGGGAGACAAAAAGTAGAAGAATAAGGATAAAAGATATAATAAATTTAGTTGATGGGGGACTTTGTTCTGTCAGGAGATAAAACGTAAATGAATATATTTAGTTATTGGAGACTATGCTCTTTTGAGAGGCTAACAGTAGAAGAATGAGGATAAATAAGTAAAAGTAAAAGACCCTCCCTCATGCCTTTAGGCACATTATTGGGCTAGACATATTTTATAGATCAGCACTCGGTAGGTGATGTGGTCTACATCACACCTGTCACTTTTACTTTCCAGGACAGTATCTGGTCCCATTTAAGGTTGGGCTGCCCCAGGAGCCAAGGTCATTAAAAAAATTTTAAGCTCCGCTAGGACCCGAACCTACTACCTATCGATCCGTAGATAAGCGCCTAGCTGCCACACAATGGCGATCCCCAAGGATAAAAGGTGTATTTATAAATTTAATTGGTGGCCGCCTAAGCTCTTTCGGGAGATGAAAGATGAATGAATACATTTAGTTAGTGGAGTATGCTCCATTGAGAGACCCCCCCCCAAAAAAGTAGAAGAATTATTATGATATTCTACACCACATCCTTCCAGCTTCTTCATCATTTTATTACTCAGTTGCCCAGCCATCAGAACAATAAGGAGCAGGCCAAGAATAACATTTCTGTAAGCTTGGATTGCATGTTAGTTCTTTTTGCTCATTGTTCGTCAGAGTGAGGTAATGATGTTTATTCTCATATTTATATTGTTTATGAGATTGCGCATTTTAGTAATATTCTTTTCTTTGCCTCACTGTCATATTTCTCCGCAGACGTCATGGTGTAGGCTGAAAATTTTAAAGGGCTGGATTGTTTTTTATTATTTTGTTTAAAAAACCTTTCAAGGTATTTTGGAATTAGTGTTTTCTCTTTGAAAGTCAGGACTCAATACTTTTTAAACAAATACCATCCCCATGTGGGTTCCAGGGTACTATTCTGGCAGCGAAAAAAAGAAACAGACTCACTGCCTACCTAAAAAAAAACACTTTGTACTCAGTGACTGCCGCTCTGTGGCTAAGTTGATGCGAACACTTCATAATGCCGGGTTCGATCCCAGCTGCGGGTCATGCGCCTTGCATTGTTTTGACTGTGGTATCAAGAAAGCCAACCGTCCAGAAAGCAATAGCAAACTACTGGACGTAAATTTGCCTAGAAAAACCACACAACAGCCAGGGGCTGTTGGTGTTGGTTCTGCAACGTCCTGTAGAGGATACACAACTAACCTTAACTCAGTGACTAATGAAGGGTAGTTTCCTTCAGAGTGCATCTGCCTAGCAGGCAAGGAACCAACAGGCTGCATTCAAATAAGCCAGAACTGTAAAATGCACATGCACTCAAGTTCTGGAAGAAAATTAAAGTCTGGAAACAAACAACGTCCAGAACTTTCTGCTGGAGTTTACAGCAGGTAAAGGCTAAGAAGACGAATCAAACATTATATATCTCTTAGCTGTTTCTGTACCTAACAGTTCCGCACAGTTACTGGATACAGCTGTGCACATGCTCTGTTGCTGTGAACTGGTGAGTTTACATCTAAGGACACCTGTAGAGTAGTGGTTAGCATTGCCATGTAGTCTACAAAATGGCAAGACTTGTCAAACTGACTTGGGTACCAGGAAGCGCCAAAAGATGTAAAAGTGGCCAGCCTGATGCTGACCACATGATCGACTGAGCGCCAATTACATTGCACAAACACAAGTCTAGCACAATGTCTGATGCACCAATGATGTTTGAAAAAAAGCCCTACATTTTACTTTACTTAAAACAATAAAGTGCTTTAAAACCACAGAAAACAACTGTTAGAATATCAAAGGCACTATAATGGAGAGAAATGAGATGGGGATGGCATAGACAAACCTAAAGAACGGATCGCAAACACACACCAACCTAAAAACTAAGAAAAGTCAAAGTCACCTTAAAAAGGATCTGACTTTAATTTAATGCAGGGCTATTCAACTAGCAGCCAGCGGGCCAAATCTGACCCGCAGAGCATAGCAAGTGGCCCGTGGATCACTGCCAGTTGCATTGTATTAATGATTTTTGTGCTGGGGTTTGCGCCTATGGCCTGTGATGATCCCCATTTACAAAATATGTGGCTTCTGAGCAAACTTATTTGAATAGCACTGGTTTAATGCATCTAATATCATGCTTTATGCATGTATTTACTTCCATTTACTTATTTCTTTTGACACTATTATGTTTAACCATAAATATTTACTGGTATTACTTATCGGTATAATTATGAAATCAATCAAACACATTTAAATTTGTTTTGTCTTGAGTTTATTGCCATTTTTACACCATTTTCAAGTATTTTAAACCGCACAAAGCTAGCAACACAAAATAATACCATCTAATTCAATGTAACAGTTAAAACACACACATATATACAAAAATATTTTAGACAAAATCAACAGTTTATTTTTAGATGCAGGACGACTGCTTAACAAATGTTAAATGCCCTTTCTTCCTACAAGCCCGCCACCCCCAGTAAATCTTTGTTAATACAATCACATTTGGCCCTTCTAAACACTGCGCAGGCACCAACAGTACCAATGCTGAAATACAGGCATAGTGAGGACTGGCTAAAGCTGTATTGGCAGAATATTAACTACTCTGAGATTTGTAAAGGACGGCAATGATAGAAAACTTAAAATGCACAATTCTGATGAATTAGTAGTTAATGACAAAAGTCAAATCACGGAAGGAAATAACCAATCTCTTAGAGCCACTGAAGGCATTGAATGTACCAAGCCCAATTTTTGGGATTCTTACAGCTATTTATCTTTCAGTGTGTCCCAGACTTTCAACTGGCCAGACAGAAATGTGTATTTTTGAGTGTGCAGAGATAATTCAGTTAAGTGACTTCTGTTTGTCTGTGTATTCTTGTTTCTAAATGTTATAAATGTAACACTGTCTATACATTTCATGTGCTGACGAAGACTCTTAAGCCAGACTGAGGGGGCCTGACTGTAATATTTCTAAAGATAGTAGTAGATGCACTGTAGCCAATCTTCACCGCGGAGACTCACAATTTTTCCACCCACAAATATTAGTCTCAAAAAAGAGACTCCTCGGTGAAGTGCTCACGCAGTTTGCTTTTCGCCATGAAGGCTGTAAACTCCATAATTTGCTGGTGCGCTCGGAGATTCCTCTGTGATTGTCACTGGGGCTAGGGAGTTCTGTGCTTTGTTTGTAGCTGTGCAGAGAGACAGAGCCAAAAAGGTGAAAACCTAATGCAATGAAGTTGATCCTCTTGCTCTTAAGCACTCTTTTAAATTACTACCCTCCAAATGAGATAAGTTCAGCAGAATTTAGCAGCGCAAGCAGTCCATTGCTGGGCCTATGCCAGAGACAATCTGGAAACTCTTTACATGCTACAGGCAAAGCTGTATCAGTGTCACTACTTTAAACTATCAGCTTATTTGTATATCAGTTAATCAGGTGCCATCTGCACAATGAAAATTTGCTGCAATGGATCTCAAGCACACTCATCCTGGTTGTACTCTCTCAGACTTTTATTTGTTTATTTCTTGATGTTAACTGCCCACTTGTATCACTGCCTGCTTCTTGCCCGACTGCCTTTAACTTGTTCCACTGGCATGGCTTTTATAAGAGTATTATGTCTTCTAATGAGTTCAAAATATTTCGTGGTCTTTTTTTTTCTTAGTTCCTTCACCAACTCTGTGCATATTACCAGGCTTTTGAAAGTCTTTGTATCTGATTGTTTTTGTTTTTATGAAATACAAACCCATATTTCTGTACTCCTGCATCTCCATAGACTCTGTGATCTGTATATGAAAATGTGTAAAACTTGTAGTTCTGGTATTCTTGGTGCTATTTTCAGTCACTAGTCCAAGCAACATCAAGTTAATTTGGTTTGATATCAGATTCACACAAAAAGGTAACAATTTTGAGGCCAGTGCTGTTAACTCTCTGATCTAACGGTTCTGACTGATCTAATTAAATTTGCTCAATAAACACACTTGACAGTTAAAATAATACTCTTTTTTTTTTAAAAAAAACAGTACTGTCAATCTATTGCATATCTTCGAAGTTAAGGATTTCTTGGGCATATTTAATATTTCAAGGACTATTAGGATCCACAGTAAAGCACATGCTGATCAAACTCAGGGCCAACTTTTAATATTGCAAAGCATGTTTGGCACCGTGCAGATCTGTGGACAACTCGCAGATGCCTTTTAATTGTGAACTTCTGGGTGAATTTTGCGTCACAGACTGGGCACATAAATGTTTTCCCCTTGTGCGACTGCAAATGATGGGACAGGCCCCTTGCAGTAATGTAACCTCTACCGCATTGAGTACATGAGAACGGCATTTGGTCTCCGTGAAATCTGGAAATATGGCACCTCAGATAGTTTTCATCCATCAAAACTGCTGTGCAGAAGGAGCATTTCAAGCTTCCTTCTGACATAGTGGGGTCGATGATATAGTCACTCTGAGGTGCAGGCAATCTATCGTTATATGCTTGAGCATAGGGCCTTTGTGATGGCGTTCTAAAGTGCGCTGGATATGTTAAATTTAGTTGCCTTTTTGAAGGGCAGGTTTGGTCCTGTTCTTTGCAGGCATTCATGTCTGAAACATAAGTTTAATACAAATAAAATATTACCACCAGGAAAAAAAAACATGTTTCTACAAATACAAACACCCTCCAAAAAAAATAAGTACACCTCTTCAGAGCAAATTATTCAGGTAACTAAAAAAATTACAAAATTAATGTCTTTACATAACCTAACCCAAAAAGACTGAAGAAAACAAGGCTTTAGTAAGGGTTTATTTTAAGTATTTATTATAATTTACAACATGTTTTAATTGACATCAGTCATTAATTTCATAAAACTAAACAAAAATTAACAAATGGAATACAGGCAATCATTTCACTTTAACAAAAACTGTCAACTGTATAACATTCTTATGAACTGTCATCATTTTAATGCATTTAAAGACTTTAAACAAAATTCAGTTAAAAATAAAACACATTTCATATCCCCATCATGAGAGAGAGAATAGACTATATAAGAAACAAACAGAGTTGCATACTTCACCCCTCCTCTAACCAGGACTGCATCCAATCTTTCATCTATCAGGACACATCCAATGTCAGCTTATATAACTAATGGTTCTAAAAACAAATCCAGGTTTTTTAAAACTCTACAACAACAAAAAACAAAGAAAGTACTTCACAGCACAGTATTTGTTTTTTAAATACAAAAACTCATATTCTGGGTCTTTTGGAATTTTGTTCACAAGGTTTAAGCTATTCTTGTCTTAGGGAATACGGTCCCTGCAACTGATGAAAAAGTACCTTTACAGTGAATGAATACAGTGTCACAAACATAACATCAACAAAGAAAAAAAAGAGGCTTAAATTGCACTCCCACAGTGCAGAACATGATTATTAAACTCCTCTCCCAAGCTTAAAAACCGCTGGCAAGTTTGACACTTAGCTGAACGATGAACTTTTTTCAAATGCATTTTTAGTGAGAACATCCGTGTCAATTTCACATTACACATGGGGCAAGAGTAATTTTTCCCTTGATGGCCCTGCATGTGGTAGTGTAGCCCCATAGATGTCTGGTAACCTTTGCCACATAAAGAGCAGGTAAACTGCAACAGAAAGCCATGCTGCCGAGAAATGTGATTCCTATAGTCTGCACCATCTAACAGTACTAAAGGACAGTGAGGGCAATGGATGCCGGAATCTGTATCCATTCTGTGACTCAGACCTGCCGGTGTTGGTAAACTGAAGTTCTCAGCGTTTGGCGCTGTAGAAGTTACTGGTAAATGCTTGGACGCAGCATTTACCATAAAATTTGAGTGATCCTTATGTCCTCGTCCTGTACGAAATGCTGGCCCTGAAAGAGACAAATGTTTCCATGTATACACAAACAGAATAATGCCAAAAGACATGTAATATTGGCATAAAGTTCCCAAAATACATATAAACATGTGCCTCTAAAAGTCTTTAAACAATTCTACTCAACAAAGTGTACACTGTACAGGTAACATCCCAGACAGACAGTCAACTACGAATTTTAACACTATGAAAACCACAAGTCATTAACCCTTTCACTGCTCCACACTCTACAGCAGGCATAAACTACTGAATAAAAAAACCGTAACCAAAAAAAGTCATTGCTGACCCTTTTTCCTGTGTTGAATACTTTTTGCTCCTCCTACAAAACTCTGCACTGGCATTTTTTTTTAACACCAAAAAAATATAAACACTAAGGAGGTTGGTGGTTGGCCTGTGTTCTGATTAGTCAGACAACAGTGCAATGCCAAGAAAACAACTTTATAGAAAGGAAACACTACACACTTACAAGGCAAACATAGAACACTACAACCCGCAAATACATAGTTTTGAATACTGTTAATAATGATTTTGTGTGTGAAATATTTTGAAGCACGTAGAAACACATAGTGCCACATTACAGTCCTTGCACATGTATCGAGTTTCCCGTCGTTTTTTGCTTTTTGAGCACACCACACATTTTCTTGATGGGAACTTCTTCTGTGACGTTCTGGATTCTATTGTTGACGGGAAATGTCTCTGCACCAACCGTGGTGGCAGATCAACATGCTGCTGAGAAATGTGATTCCTATAGGATGAATCATCTAAGAGAACTAAAGGACTGCGGGGGCAATGGATGCCAGATCCTGTATCCGTTTTGTGACTGGGATCTGCCTGTGTTGGAGAACTGAAGTTCTCAGCGTGTGCTGCTGTAGAAGTTACTGGTGAATGCTCAGATGCAGCATTTACCATAACATTTGAATTACCCTTATGTCCACCTCCTGTACAAAATGTTGATCCTGAAAGAAACAAATGTTTCCATGTTTACAAAAAAAGAATAATGTCCACTTACTTTACGTAATGTTATTGACATATGCATCACAAAATAATAATTTCACATACTTAACGCAAAATTATTGACATATGAATCACAAAATAATTATAAATGTGTGCCTGTAAGAATCTCTAAACATTTTATTAAACAAAGTCACGTTACAGATAACATCCCATACAGACAGTCAACTGTAAAATGTTGACACTATTAAAACCAGAACTCATTAAGTAGCGAGGAACTTACACTGAGTTCACTGGTAACTCTTTATATCATATTTTTCTAATCATGTCTCTCATTCAATTATTACACAGAGCTACTCTATCACATCTGCTTGAATGGCATCGTTAATGACATTAACATTGCTCCTCTGTCTTTGAATGGCATCATTAATGAATTCTCTTTACATGGCTATCTTGTGAAAATATTTAATGAACATGCTTTAACAGTTCCTGACAGTCACTGTTAAGAATACAAAATAAAACCAAAGCAGAATTAGCTACACAAATACATTCATGGGTGACACAGTGGGAACTGTGAGAAATTATTACCCACATATATGTATGTGTGTGCATATTTTTCTCGCTTTTTTGAAAGTGTACATTTTAACCCTTTTGTCACAGGCACACTGAAAATATTGGGGCATGAATTCGTAAAAATCTCCCCCACCACAAATTCTTTAACACCCTCTCCCCACTCCCATTTTATATATCACTAAACGTTGCAGAACCCCAGCATTTTTTTGTTGTTGTGGTTTTTCTAGGCAAGTTTACATCCAGTAGTTTGCCATTGCTTTCTGGACGGTCGTCTTCTCGATACCACTGTCGAAACTAAAGCAAGGCCTGCAGCTGGGTCGAACCCGGCATTACGAAGCGCGTTCACAATGCCTAAGCCACAGGCGCCTATATACATCACTAAAAAATCTATTTTTAATGTGTTTATCTGCATTAAAACAATTTTTGAAATATATCACGGGACCAAAAAACGAGATTAGCAATATTGAAATACATTAACTATCTTGAAATACATTAACTATCGGGTCTAAAAATGTGTATCTGGTGACGCATGCCATCACCTTTATCACTGAGACCATGGGGGAAAATTTACATTGACAGGTACATTATTGTGACCATCCTACTAATGCACTTTTGCCATACATACATTCCTTAGACTCTGGAAGTGTGAAATTCTGAGAATTCTTTGATGCACCTCATCCTCAGAGACACAATATACAAATTGTGCCCAAATATGAAAAAAGAAGAAAACTGGTTGCCAGTCCTAAAAATAACATAGTAATCCTACAACAAATTCTTAAAAACAAGTTAAAATATACGGGCAGGGTAAAGAAAGGTCATAAATATTTTAGGAGCTAAGCGATACACTAAACAAAACAACATAACATTAACATACATTTCTAAGCACATCACTCTCTTGATATGATTACTACCACATAAAACAGCAGAAATCATCAGCCGTTAATAAATGTGCTTAAAAATCTAGTAGTGATATCAACACACCAATGATAAAAAGGGATATAACATTTTTTTAAAACATAATATTGCTATTAAAGGAAACAATCAAAATGTGCATCCTTTCTTTTATCACCAATTATTGTTTAGTCATTCCACTCAGTGAACTACCATACAAATGCTAAATTCATACGTACTGTTACTAATCATTGTTTAGTCTCACCCTGTCAACTTGATGTATAGTTTGTATAGAGAAGCAAAGAAAATATTTTACTCTACTTTCAAAGTACACCTTGCTCAATGTAATAATTTTAATCACCCCCTCCCCCCTCCCCCCCCCCCACCACACACACACAAACCCAGGAAAAATGAATATAAATAAACTGCAGCTATAGTCCTTGGCATGTTTACTTTTATGTATGGTGTTATAAAACTTTAGCCCATTATATTTGGGTTGTCTGACTGTGCTGATGGGACTAAGGTACTGAGTCTGCTGTGTCATCTGGTAGCAGACCTAACTAAGCCTGTCTTTAAAAACAGACAACTCAGCTGAGGTACTACCCACGAACTCAAAGATCATAAAGTAAAACCTTGTAACACAAACTCACTTAACATAAACCAAATTTAGCTCCCAGCTAGGACGTACTATTATTAGCCTCCGGTTAGCAGAATTTGTTTTTTAAATACAAAAACTCATATTCTAGGTCTTTTGGAATTTTGTTCACAAGGTTTAAGCTATTCTTGTCTTAGGGAATACGGTCCCTGCAACTGATGAAAAAGTACCTTTACAATGAATGAATACAAAAAATTGACACATTCCCAAATGTGCTTCATCTCCTTCCTCAGTTGCTGTACCAGTTGCAACTTGATTAAACATCTACCAAAGTTCTCCCCTCAATGCTGAAAATCTTTCAGAACCTCTACTCGACCCTGCTGGATTAGTCTTTGAATGTATGGATGCTCTGTCGGTTCTATTACATAGTCCAATCCTTAACAATTGATCAGTCAACTACATGGTACATTCCTATCGACCTAAATGTTCACCCTCTAAATTCAAAGACAAGCAGATAACACTTTTATTCTGTCCTGAATCAACCCATCCACCTAGACTGCAGCATCTTCTGCCATTACCTTTACATGTAATTGAAACCAAAACTGTATCTTAACACACAAAGATAACCACAATTAACTTATGAACCTCAAATTAATAAAACCCACATGTGGTAGTTACCATGCTACTTGCCACCCACAGGCGGCAAAAGGGATTAGAACCATATATTCATTTTTTTTCTTAAACAGAAACTGGACAGGTGATGTGGACACTTCACGCCGGTTATCTTTACTTCCAGTGACAATAATTTATTGTATCCATTTGAGGATGGGTTGGATTAGGAGCATTAACCCCTTTTCCCAAAGAAGCTGAAAAGTCAACAGTTTTGCTCGGGTGGGATTCTTATGCGGCGCATATTTAATTTTATTGGCAGAGTTTGCATAGCAAACATCTAGGAGGTCAGGAATTGAATACATTAACTAACAATAGCATTTAGGGGTGTTTACTCTAGAGCTAAATGGCTTTTTAAAAGTCAAGCTGACATCAGATTTTCTCATACGCCTCAGCGACAGGGGTCATGGAGCCAGAGCATGAGTTGCCCAATATATACATGTTTTTTAAGGCCCCGGGAGATGTATTCCATTTAATGATTCACCTGGTTTGTGTTTAATTAATACTCCTTTCATCTATCTTCTTTTTTTTGTTGAAAAAAAAATTAAACATATATATAAATACACTTTTAACTAATGTAATTCTGACCTCTGTTTAAAAAAAAATAGTTTTTACTGATTTTTCCTGAAATTCTTAATAAGGTTCATGTTGACTGAAAGAATCCAACCCAAAACAGATTCGAACCTAAGACCCACAGGCCAGCTGACAAGCAAGAATTTATTCCCAATGACTATACATTATACAGATTAAAACAAAAGGGCACTCACATATTTCTCACACACTGGTTTCAGCAATGTTTCAAAACCCACGAGCTATATCCCCAAAGGTAACACATCTTTGCAATGCAGCACATGCTCATTAAAATCTGGACCCATCAATAGTATTGCAGAGCACTGGAGGCACTGGCTGGACTTGTGGATCCCTCTCAGATGTGTCTTCATGGAGCTCTTCTGTGTGAACTTGGCATCACACACTGGACACATGTAGGTCTTTCCTTCATGAAGGAGCATATGCCGAGACAGTCCTGAATGGCTCACATACCCTTTCCCACACAAAGAGCAGGTGTATGGCGTGATGTGACTATGAAAGTGGGAAAGAGGAGCTTTCATGAAGCCTCTAGCACGTGAAAGCATATCGTGGGGGAAAGCAGGCATGTGATCCTGAGATTCCATACCAGTGAAGAAATGGCTACCACCGAGGTAGTCGCTTTCGGCTGTGGTCCTCTGGATGTCCGCAGGGCGAGAACTAGTCAGACCATTCTGACAATTCTTCGGCTTCCTTATACCTCTAGGAACCATAACTCCTGAAAGTAAAAATGTTGGCTTTTCTCACAACTGAACATGTGCTTTTCACATATCTATAACCTTAGAGATGATAATTATGGAACAAGTAACTTACTTTACAAACAGAATAATACTACATTTTAATATCAGCAAGTCAAAGAAAATTTAATAACATGATGCATCAGCATAAAAGCTCAATACCTTTCACAAAACTATTATTTAATAACATTTTAAACTGATCCAATATTTGCTTTTCCCTTTTGCAAATGCCAGTGCAGAAAATGACAAACTATTTATGTACATGTATATATAATGTCGTTAGCTCAACTGTAATGAAATTACACTTTTCTTCCAAATCATCACAGTGTACTATCAATAACAGCAAAGAGTATAGTTCTTGTATAAACCAACGGTCATGTAGCTACACTGAGTGTCATTAAGAAGATATTTTACACTGTATTCTCTGTTCTCTTCACAAAAGAAACAAACTGAATTTCATGGCTGTTCCAAACACATCATGTTTATCTGTCTCCAGTATTTTGACAATTCAATACACGACCATTAAACTCAACACCCACTGGGAATGTCTGTAGGCAGCTTACATCATATTCTCTGCTCTCTTTACAACAGAAACAGTGAAATATCTTTAGGCAGCTTACATCATATTCTCTGCTCTCTTCACAACGGAAACAAACTGAATTTCATGGCTGTTCCAAACACATCATGTTTATTTGTCTCCAGTATTTTGACCACAACTCAATACATGACCATTAAACTCAACCCCCACTGGGAATGTCTGTAAGCAGCAGCGGCATTCTTTACGACTGTGGACACCCTCAAGGTGGCGTTTTAAATGATGCTTATGATGAAACCTGGCATCGCACACCACACAAACAAACTGCCTGCCCTTGTGTGCTTCCATGTGGTGCCGAAGGCCAGGTAGAGAGAAGAAACCTTTCTGACACATTGTGCAATTGAACGGGAAGACAAACTCCTCACGATGAAAGTTATTCATGTGCTTCTGAAACAGTATGCGGGATGGCAGACTTTCCTGACAATATGGGCATGGCATGTTGGAAACCTGATGAGAATTTCCATAGAAAGCATTCCCTTGAAAGTTTGAGCCTGAGGCTGACATGTCACAAGATTCTGGATACACCACAAAAACATCCTTCCTAGGTCTGTGAGAGTGTATATTTCTTGAAACAACAGGGCTTCCGCCTGAAAGAAATTAATTGTGAATTGTAGTAATCTGAGTTTACTGAGCCCAATCAAAGACATTTCTTGGGCTTCTTTTTTCTTCAACAAATGGGAAATGTAAGTGAATAGGGTCAACACTGCATCTATGTTCAAAAACAAAACAACAGATTAAAATATACCTGTAAAATGTTTCACTGAATAAGGTCAATACTGCATTCATGTTTAAAAACAAAACAATAGAACAAATAATAGTAAAATGTTACTACCAGGGAAGATTTTTATTTGGTGTACATGAGATGATGTGTGAGTAAATTTCTGCATTTGCTTGAAATGTTTCGCACTATTTGCATTTCTTAAGAATGGGGGAGGGCGCTGGCGGCACACACACTCATACACTCAATTCACACTAGTAAAATGATAAATCTCCATGAAGTTATTTATTTGGGGTGCACGAGATGATGTGGGAAGTAAACTCCTGTCCTTGCTTGAAATAATTCTCGCAGTATCTGCACTCCTTTAGTAGATGCACCGACTCCATGTGGCGTCTCACGGTGCTCTTGTGCTTGAGTTTGGCATCACAGATAACGCAGGAATATGTCTGTCCCCCGTGAGTTTGCTGGTGGTAACGCAAGCCACTCTGAGAGAAGAAGCCATGCTGGCACAGGTCACAGGTAAATGGAAGCATTCTGTCTTCCTTGTGACACTCATTCATGTGTCTCTGATAAAGGTTGGCGCTGTTGAGGTGTATGTGACAAATGGGGCATTTATCAGAGTAGCTAAGAGTGGTTATCGTGGCACCCAGGGCAGGTTCATCAGCATGAGGTGTGTGGAGGGCTGGGTGTGGTAACTGCCTGCTGCAATCATTCCACACGCTACCTGTGCTAACGGCTCCGCTCCTAGTTCTATGCTTTCTTTTATGTCTTCCAACAGATGCTTGGTCAATGTTACTCTCTGAAATACAAGATGGCCATAGCTCAGTCAGCTGTCAGGCTTTTTCATTTCATAATTAAACAAACAAATGTTTTATTGTCAAAAACAGCCTGGTTAACATAAGCAGTGCTTCGCCTAGCACCTCAGGCAAGAAAATAAAGACCAGAACACCACATACTTCCACAACAGAATCAATGTACTACTGCGTATGTGCATATTCTGCACAGTTCATCTGGTGGTAAGCAAAACTGGATATGTCCACCAAGTTCTGACAGGTGCTGCATCTGGACATCTTGTGAACACTGATTTCATGACGTTTGAGATGATGTTTGTAGAGAAACTTGAAACCACACATATCACAGCTATACTTCCTGCCTGCACAGTGAGTCAGCCTATGGGTTCTCATCCCCCCGTGTGAGAAAAATCCTTGCTGGCAAATGGAGCAAGAGAAAGGCAGCGCCTTGATACTTTTATGAAGCATGTTCATGTGTCTCTGCAGGAGCGGAGTACTCTCCACCATCTGCCCACAAATGTTACAACTGTATACCACAGAGCCATCGTCTCTACTAATCTGTGAATAATATTGAACACCATCTGGCATGGCGCTTCTAGGTCCTAGAGTTGGCAAAGTGTTTAGTGAAGGATTTGGTAAAGACAAGTGTTGGAATTCAGAACGATGACACTTTTGAATTGTATCCAATTCTCCCACTGAGTACGAACTTACATTCCACTCTGAAATAAACAAAATAAAAGATTGGCCTGCTGTATACACACAAAGATGGTCAGCATCATTAGCTCTATAGCATCAATGACACTATTAAACAGAAGCAATAGCTGATTAACAAAAAAAAATAATAACGTTGTAATGACAGTCCCAAAAATCCACCAAATGTTCATAATAAACACCTCAAACAAAATGTGTTTAAACACTTTATTCATCATGATAACTGTTATGTTTTGAAGTACACTGGATGTAACATCCCCATGCTACACATAATATGGTCATGTAAATTAAACATAAGCCAGATTTGTTATCTTTATCTGCCGCAGGTCCTAAGCCACCAGACTAATACATTTTTCTTCAATAGATGCTAGCATAATTACTATACCATAGAAGCACTGCTTTTTTAGTACCAAAAATAAATATGAATTTACAGGCATGCATGCCCAAGCATCTATTTTAATTACTGAATTATTCATACTTATCAACGCCATTTAGTTATTCGATTTAAAAGCTAGAAAAAATACAAACCGCTGTTATTGAAAAATTCAATTTCTAGACCAGTGTTCAGTGCAGACTTTTGAGCCTAAACTGCATTTAGTTCAAACTAAAACAATTATAAAATAAAGCACAAGCTACCAGCAAACAACTAAAACTTACTGGACTAATATTATTCTTGCGACTAAATGCCATGCACCAGTTTCTGATGAGCAGTAAGCGAAGTCTTATGTGCATACTGAGATCCACACAAGTTGCACTTAAAATTCTTTTGCTGCATGTGCAGGGACATGTGGGCTTTCAGGTGGGATTTCTGCTGGAAACCCTTGCCACAAGCCTGACAGTAGTGATCAAAGGCCCCACAGTGTTTAATCTTGTAATGGAAACGAGCTCCTGATGAAGATCTGTATTCCTTGCCACATGCTGGGCACAAATACATTTGGCTATTCTGGTCAAACACAAAATAGGTTTCTTTCTGTTCTTGTCTATTTCTCATGAGTCTAGTTGTTGCCGAGGGATAAGAAGTGTTAAGCGATACATTGTGATGTTGATGGGAACGTGAAGTGTCTAAAGGCTGGGAAAAAGACGAATGTGCGCTATCTGTAAAAAAATAAAAAAGACTGTTTTTTCATATGCTGCATCTGATATGCTAAAGTTATACAACAATCCCCGCACTCAAATTTCTAAGATAACTAGAAAAATGTTTAACAACAATAATAAATACACAATGAATGTTACAATGATTCAATGTACTTTTCACGCCCCATCACAGATATATATAAAAAATATGTGTAAATTAACACTGTTTAAATATTCACTTGTAACTTCCTAATCTTATACAGTACCGATTTGAAACATAGAACCCCTTCTAAATATATTGCTCACACAACAGCAAGTGAATGTGTCTTCCTCACATTTAAATATTCACTTGTAACTTCCTAATCTTATACAGTACTAATTTGAAACATAGACCCCTTCTAAATATTTTGCTCACACAACAGCAAGTGAATGTGTCTTCCTCACATTTATAAAACACAACAAAATCATCACATCTGAGACTACACAATAATGCAGCGCTGCAAGGGAAATGCAGCCGAACACATAGCCAACCTCCAAACTGCAATGTGTAGCAACATTTACATCAAAATACTAATTATTTTAACTTTTACATTTAACATGACATAATTCCTTACAAATGTGGTATGCTTAACATGGTAAATACATTCCAGTTTTACTGAAACATGTTAATGTCACCAGGGTATAGCAGCTGACTGGGTAAAAAAAAAATGCTGCCTATATATATAATATATATATATATATATATATAATTTAAAATGCTAGGGAATAACAAAATATAACAGTGTGAATTAACCCTTTGCTTTAAAAAGTTACATGCCTTCACTCATTGTTTTGAAATGTCAGTGGTGTAAGAATATTCATTCTTCAATCATAAAACAGCAACAGATGTGCTACACAACCAAAATTACTGCATGAGTTGGCAGGGAAAACTGAATATCAGAAACATTTGGTAAAATAAGAAATTACAAGCAGTCAAAAATTCATTTAAAATCAAGTTGACTTAATTGGTTTTGATAAAATAAAAAGATAAGGTCATCACCACAGTTTAAAACACAGAATGACAGGATTCCAAAGAACAACCAGACAAAATATTCTCAAAGAACAATAAACACTTATAAGTCAAATGTGTTTACTTGTGCACAATAAACATTGTGACATGTCTGATGGCAGTGAATAAAATATTAGGAAGACCATCACTCAAAAAACTGAAATCTTCCTAACAACAATGAAAAAGAAGAATCATAAGCTACCAACCAGGACACAGATGTGTTGGTGGGTTAAAGATATAAGTAATATAAACAATATTACAATATTGATGGAAGCAGACTGAAGTATCCAAATTGCCTGAACAATCAATCAAATTCTTTAATATTCTGCCTTTCAACTCCCAATGGAGACAGACCTTTAACAAACACATACCAAATCCCTGCTAAACCTGTCCAGTAAGTGGTTGGATTTGCCACCAATTTTGTGCAGGATGAGGAAGTCAATCTCAAACCAACCCTTCTATGCCTGCTCTTGGGACAAGCATTATATTTTAGTGTTACAAGTCTTTTTTTTCCATTAGTCTCCAACTTTCCGTCTTTCCAGACGATACTTTTACACTGTGTTATGAGCAGGCATTGGAAATACAGACCTCGCTGATGGCGAGTGTGGTTAACAAGACCCGCATGCATTAAGAAAAGTCTTCCACACATTACAGCACAGGAAGAATAAAGAAGACTGTCTTTAGAAGGCAAAATGTGGCTAATATACTGTGTGACTTATGTGGGGTCATTTTGGTCAACATACTGTGTGATGATATGCAAGATCACCTCTTCCCTCTCATTTTCATTGTAAATATTTATCTGGAAATTCTTTGTGCAGCACAAAGGGGCAAAGTGCTGAAGATTACATAATATACAAATAATTTACCACTAAAACACTTTAAATTGTAGATAACAAATTAACCCAGAAATCACAAAGCCTAGAACTATTGGACTGCAAAACAGCAAAACTGTATTAGCCATCCGAGTTATCCAAGATAAAGTAGCAATATAGAAATAAACACTACAATGAATTAAGAAAGCAAAGTTCAAACTGAGAATTAAGAAGAAAAAACCAATATAAACAGATCAAGTGGTATATTTCAATGTATTACTATTTAATCAGTAATTCTTTTAAAAAGTTAAACCATTTATACATAAAATGAACAGCAGGTAGAGTATCAACGTGTAAGTAAAAAATCCTTTTCCACAACCTCGGGCGTATTGAGCATACAGAACTAAACCTTTCTGTGTGGGATCCGGGACCC